TGTCGATTATGATAGGGTTGTGGTCAGAACTAAGGGAATCGGAGTTTGTAACGTGGAGGATGTGGTAAATGTCTTTGGAAATGGCAATGTCGAGAATGTCGGGGGGATTGTGGTCATAGTGTGTTGGCTCTGAGGGAGCATGAATTTGGAATTGTAAGTCTTGTGCGTAGTTGAGGAGCTTGCGCCCCTCAGGGTTTGTTTTCCTGCAGCCCCAGGAAGTGTTTTTGGAGTTCAAATCTCCAGCGAGTAATGTRGGYATGTTTCGATTGAGAAGGTTCGAGTAATCGAGTTRGGTTGTACGTGTATTGGGTGGTTTGTAGGCCGAAATAATGAGGATCTGGGAGTTTTCCATGTTAAGGGTGACCGACGTGTGTTCGATTGAGGTGTTGGCGATAGAGGGGTTTGGGGAATGGGAAATGGAGTTTTTGACGATAATGGCAGTGCCGCCCCCTCGACTGTTGGGGCGGTCGTTACGGTAGATTTTATAATTATTAATTTGGAAGAGCGTTTGAGTTTGCAGAAAAGTCTCCTGGATTAACGCGATGTCCACATCGTCTTCCCGGAGGTAGCCTTCAAATTCGTACCTTTTGGGGTACAAAGAGTTGGCGTTCCAGGAAACGATGTGGACGCCGGCTGATTTTAAGTTCATGCCAGTGCTTGAAGAGCCGGGCAATTGCCAATCATGGCGGCAATTTTGTTGATTTTGGCCTGGATTTCGCTCTTAGGCATGAGGAGGAGTTGCATTAGCGCAGGGTTAATGCGGGTGTTCTGTGGGGCGCGGGGCGGGGCGTTTTGGGGTTCACGGGGGGCTTTTTGGGGAGCTTGAACGGGGGGGTTTGAAACGGTGGGCTTTGAGGGTGCTTGAGCCTGGGCTTCGGACGCTTTGGCGGCGTAGGAGATGCCAGGCGAAACTTTGTTTTGGAAGCTGGCAGTCTTGGCTTTTTCTTGCTTTTGGGCAAGGAAGTTTGGGTTTTTGGGGCAAGAGAAATAGCTTGTCGGATGGGGACCCTCGCAGTTTATGCATTTAGCCGGGATGTCTCTCGGCTTTTTGCATTCTGAGTAGAAGTGCTGTTGGGCGCACTTGTGGCAGAA